GAAAGAGAAACGATTCATGTGGGGTCCCTCTACTTTAGAACTCCCCCCCCGCCCTACAGAACCCTTGCATACCCACGCCAACCGTTTTCGTTTTTGGCGAAAAAGGGGCATGGAGATCCCAATCTGTCGACCAGCGGCTTGCATGAAACTTCACGATTCACCGCCCCAGCTGCTGAGGCAATGGCCTGCGGTTTGAACAAGGCCCCCCTCAGAAGGCTTGGTGTTCTTTCACTTTTAGCAAAGCCCCCGAAAGGTTTCCGCAGTTTTGGACATCTTCCCGAGGGCGGAGCAATGCAAACATTCCGAAATCGTGGAGCTATTTTGGCAGCTTTTCACCTCAGCATGAAAGCCTCGGTGTGGGTTGAAGCGCGCAGATTAGCATAGAAGCTCAAAAAGGGTCTCCCAAGAAAGGGGGTTCCATGTCGAATTCTCAATCATTAGCCTTCTCCGAGCAAAGCATTTAGCTTATATTCTCAAAGCTTGCTCTAATAGAACCAGCTGCTGAAAGGAATGGGTACAGTTGACTCATGTTGACTTTGACTCAATCCGAAGAACCAATTTGGCAAGACACAGTCTGTTGTTTTTCTTCTTTTATATTATGATTATTATTATTATCGTTGTTATTATTTATCAAGCAGAACAACGCGGGTTGTTCGTCACGGGACGGTGCCTTTGGCTTCACCGAGGCATGCGAACGAAGGTGCCCAGGGGCCGGCCCTTCTACGCGGACTTCTGCGGGGAGACTCCGGCCAGGCGCGGTCGCGGTCGCGCGGATCGTGCGGATCGCGCGTACAGTTCCTGGCGGGTGACCCGTGGAATCCCATTTGGCTGTGGGTCAAATCCGTTTTGGGATCCCATTTTGGGGTCGGTGAATTCACCACCCATTTTAAGCTATTTTAGTGGGGATTGGGATGTTCATTGGGGGTACGGGATTTTGACCCGTGGCCATTTGGGCGTGGCTCAAAGTTAAAAAGTCGGGGTTGCGCAGGTGTTGGTCTTTGGTTCCATTGGCCAAGGGGCCATTTTTGGGTAGCATTTTTGGAGCGGCCATTTACAGCTGCTAGCTTTTGCGAGACTTGTCAATTGGCATTGGGGGCCCTGAAAGGTAGGGAGGCTTGGCACAGAATTTGATACACCCCTGCTATCCCCCCGGTGTTTTTTCTGGTGAATATGGTCGTGTGAGTTGGGTGTTGGGTGTTACAGTCCTGCTTCGAGGCAACTTGGAACAGACCGTATTTTAGGTAAAGTGATGAGGAGAACAAGTGATCGCATTGCCATTGCCCGGGTCGGACATTGCCATAGACATGACGCAGATTCCCCGCCCCAATGGAGGAGTGGCTTTTGACAGAAAGGTGTTGTTGTGTTCAGTGCAGTTCAGCATGAGACTGGTAGCAGTGGATACGTGTGAATATCAAATATATTACATTGTATGTGCCATGTGCTTGATTTTGTGGGACGGTGAGGCCAACAGGAGTTGTGTGTCAGAGGCGGCCATGCAAAGGCCTTGCAACGTCCAGCTGCGTATGAGCAAGTAGTCAACGCATGTCGACGCTTGTTTCAAGTTGAGGAGGACATGGGGGGACAACCCAACCCAAGTTCTCACCGAAAGTCACGGGTCACAACCCCATTTATCCATGTCCTTTTGGGGGACATAGATTCGGATTTGCCAGATCAGAGTCAACGACATGCACGGATCCTCACCCTTCTTTCCTGTGGTGGTCCCCTTGAAAATCAACCGACACTTCGGCAAGTCCCTGTTTTCCCATGGGACATGGGCAGAGTGCTCTGGGGGGGGATACCAGACACAGATCTTCAGCATTACATATTCTGGAATGCGGCTCTGAGTTGTTTCGAGTAGCATCTAGCCATGCAGCCGTCCCAATGACCGGAGTAAAAACCAAATCACACTGCACTGGTGACTGAACATGTCTTGCAGAATTCCTGGGCGTGTCTCAAAATAAAGGGAACCCTCTAAGCAGGCGGTCTCCTTTGGGTTTCTCTTTAAAGGCAGCCCAAACAGGGTACCCTCCAAAAAGACACCCCCAGACACGGTTCTTTATAGCAGGGACCTCCCCACCAACAAATTTGTGCCATTTGGGCCCCGCAAGCCAAAATGAAAGATTCCGTTTCCCAACACGGGTCTGCGCACGTCCATGCTGGTAGGGTATGCCAACTCAGATGACGTTGAATCCATCCAGCATCGTTGCACCCTGAGAGGGAAAGGGGCCATTGGAATGTTGATGTTCAAGAAGGACCCTTTGAGGTGCCAAGACTTTTAGGGCTGTCTTTTTGAACTCCCCTAAAAACCAAAAGGGGATGGACCATACATTCTTGGCCTACTTCGAATAAGAAACCCTAGCGATGCCGACGGATCGGCGAGGCTTAGGGACTGCTTCCTGCTGGACTGGTCACGGGCCAAAGTTGCCCGCATCGCAGCTGGGGCTCAAGACGCTCCCGGATGCGCTCGTTTTGTGTTCTGGGTACCCAGTTTTCCCCCGCAAACCTTCCCCCCCCCCCCCACCGATTTTTGTTGTTTTGAGGGTGGTTGGGTTTAGTTGTTTTTTGGGTTTTGGGGGTGGTTGGAAGTAGGGTCCAGTTTGTGTTTTTCCCGCGGATTTCGTGTTTTGAGGGCGGTTGGGTTTAGTTGTTTTTTTGGGTTTTGGGGGCGGTTGCAATTTGGGTTTTGGGTTTGGGTTTTGGGGAGGCAGAGCTTCGGGATGCGGGATCAAGCGCGGAGACCTATGGAGTAGGTTCTTTACTTGGGGATCGCTTAAACTAGGTGCTGGAATTGTTGCACAAATTGAAGATGTTCAGGCGTCTTTCTTTCAAGGATCAAGCTGGTTCCCTTGGGTTTTTGTCGGTTCTTTGGAAAGAAAGATCCCTGGAAAGAAGGAAGAAGTTGTCCGTAGACACATGGCTTGCAACGGGAGCCTTTTCTTTCCATGAGTTTCATGGATCCTGTTTTCAGGCATGCGATGGGCTTTCTGTTCAACCAGAGGTTCGGTCAACATATGCAACGGTCTGTGAATGGTCCACTTGGGAAGAGACATGAAGGACTCATCCAATTTTCGCAACCAAGGGGCTCGCAAAATGGGGCAACCTCCACAGGTCTTTGGCTTCTTTTTTTGAGCTTCCCTTCCACACAATGGGGGGGGACACCCCTGTTTTGAGATACAGTATATATATATATATGCTTATATATATATATATGCGATGTTTCCCTTTGAAGCAATTTTGAGCATCCCTTTCGCTGAGAAATGCGCACAGAAGTCATTGTGTTGGCATTTTTTTTGTGCAAACCGTGTCAAAAAAGAACAACAGTAAACCATGCCCGACCTGGTCCGGTTTGGATTCATCCCCACATGAATGACACACAACCCAGAACCGGCACAGCCGCTCCCAGCCACAATGTGGGGGTTCGCATCAGGCCAAGGGCGAGGCCGACCTGAAGGCTGCCGAAGAGCGCCTCGGACCGCGAGAAGCGTGTCGTTGGGACGAGCCAAAGGGAAGCTGGAGTGGACCCGAGGGGAACCATACTTTCGGTCACCCGTGTTCGACCTTGTTGAGCAGGTTGTGCAAAGTCGCTTACCTTGGGAGGTGCACGTGCAACACTCGTATCATGAGATTCGGTGCACAAGGGCGCTCATCATGCTGAGCGGGGCTCGGAACAGAGAAGAGAAGCAGTTGGCTCTTTGGCAGGAAATTAACCTCACTACGACACTAAGAGGCCGCGTGCATCAGCCACTCCGACCTTCTGATGATGGATGTAGACTGGGACCTCTTTGAACATTGAGTCAGGGTTCACAGTGTGGACCAGAAACTAGCTGCCATGGTAAGTTGGGTTGAGGTCCTGAGGTAGCTCAGCGCATCGTTCCAGTCAGGCACGGCTATGAAGTGACAGGCTGGCACATGCAAGCCGTGGATGATGTTGCCTTGACAACGAACATGGAAGCCCCTGAAAAGTCTTTCAAAAGGACATGACAGCGCTCCACCACACGCGGCGTTTTCGCTTAACATCTCACCACCCTGCGCCTGCGTGAGAGTTTTTATTGCGCCCCTTTGCTCTATTTGTTTTATTGAAAGCTATGGTTTGCTGTACGAGGTTGTTAGTTGCTTGGCAGCAAGCAACCAACTGGCAACAAGAAACAACCATCAAACAAGAAACAGCTGAACTAAAAGTCACCTTCTCATGAGCAACAAGAAACCATCCAACAGCAAGCGAGAAATAAGTCAGCTAACAACAACCAACAACCAAGCAACAACAACCAAGAAACAAGACCGACAAGCCACAACAAGTACTCAACCACCAGCAACCAACCACCAATATTCAACAACCACCAAGTAAGAAGAACCCCCCAACCAACAAGACCCCAGAACCAACAAGCAGAAACCAAGAAACATCCACTGTGAGTGCGGCTTCCCTTGGCGACCCGCCCTCACAGACCGCAGACCGCGTCACCGAGGTCCGCCCTGGCGCAGTACCGGCGCGTCCTCGCGCTGTACCGGGCCAGCGGGGAGCGGAGCGTGGGAACCACCCAGCTGGAGGCGGGCAGAGGGCACCATGCGGCCGTTTAAAAAAATGTGTTGTTTCTTTGTCGCATTTTGCTAAGGGATGTTAGGACTTTCAACTTTTTTGCCAACTCATGGGTTTTCCATTAAGCCGCTAAAAGGTAAACTTTAGCAGGGGAGCAGCAAGCAACCGAGGTTTCATCAAGAATCATTTGGCTGTGGCTCAAAACAATGTACCCAAAATGGCCCCCAATAGAAACAAAGACCAAAACCTGCGTAACCCGAGCTCTTGAATTTTGAGCCACACCCAAAATTTGGGCTTTGAAAGGAAAGGGGTTGGTTTCAAGAAATTCGTCCGACCCTGAGGAGAACAGACCAGGAAGGGATTTGCCAGCAGTCTCTATCGGGAAATCTGTGGAACCGATTGAGGGTTCTCAGATTCCGTCTATGAAATATACGCAATCACAACGGCTTACCCATAAGCTCCGTGTCGCAGCACCAGATGTCTCGTGGAAGACGTTGCCTTGGCATCTGGCAGTTGCTAGTCGCTGGAGTAGAGGGTCCTGCCATGAATTATGGCCCCGCCCTCCCAACATTTTGGGCGGAGTGGAAATCGTCTTCGCCGCCCAGCGAGTCCCACTGCGACTTGGTGCCGGGACCGTGAACCTGGGCTTACCTGGCGACACCAGGCACATGCCCCGATGGCGAAATTCCCTTTGGTGTTCAGGGGGTTTTGTATAGTGTGGAGAAACGTATTTCCCTGCTTGGGTCGTTTTAAGCATCACTCCTTTTGGCCCATTCAAAGTGAGTTTCTCTTGGTAGGAGTGAAGTGTTAAAGGGAAATCGAGGGAACCTTGTTGAGTCAAGCCTCGCCCCGAGTGCACGCCTAGGGCTACCAGAACGCTCCGCAGGCATCTGGCCTCTTCCTGCAAGCTGGACTTGTAGACGACACCACCAGGCCGTGGCAGTTACAGAGCGGAAGCTGTGCTACATGCTTTGCTTCTGCAATCAGAAAATTTCCAGAAATTCAAGTATATATTTGTATATTATGTTTTTGGAGGTACTCCTTTCAGCTTGGTTCAAAAGGACAACAGGACAACCCACCATGTTTGGGGTTCCGCCTATCTTAGCCCATACAATTGCGATGGTCAAGCATGGCACTTCTGCGCTGAAACTTGAGCAGCTGTTGCCCCAGGGTGGCAGACATCGACCGCTGCTTCATCGCCGCTAAGGCGCTGTGAGTTCGGTAGGCTGTATCCATTGATGGGGTGGGTGGTTGATGGGGTGGTTGTGTGTGCGGGTGTGCGGGTGTGCGGGTGTGCGGGTGTGCGGGTGTGCGGGTGTGCGGGTGTGCGGGTGCGCGGGTGCGCGGGTGCGCGGGTGCGCGGGTGCGCGGGTGCGCGGGTGCGGGTGCGCGTGGTGCGCGGGTGCGCGGGTGCGCGGGTGCGGGTGCGCGGGTGCGCGGGTGCGGACGCGTGCGTACATGGTGTGGGTGGGTGGGTGGGTGGGTGGGTGTGGGTGGTGGTGTGTGTGTGTGTGTGTGTGTGGGTGTGTGTGTGTGTGTGTGTGTCTGTGTGTGTCTGTGTGTGTCTGTGTGTGTGTCTGTGTGTGTCTGTGTGTGTCTGTGTGTGTGTGTGTGTGTGTGTGTGTGTGTGTGTGTGTCTGTGTGTGTCTGTGTGTGTCTGTGTGTGTGTGTCTGTGTGTGTCTGTGTGTGTGTGTGTGTCTGTGTGTGTGTGTGTCTGTGTGTGTGTGTGTGTCTGTGTGTGTGTGTGTGTCTGTGTGTGTGTGTGTGTCTGTGTGTGTGTGTGTCTGTGGGTGTCTGTGTGTGTGTGTGTGTCTGTGTGTGTGTCTGTGTGTGTGTCTGTGTGTGTGTGTGTGTGTGTGTGTGTGTGTGTGTGTGTGTGTGTGTGTGTGTGTGTGTGTGTGTGTGTGTGTGTGTGTGTGTGTGTGTGTGTGTGTCTGTGTGTGTGTGTGTGTGTGTCTGTGTGTGTGTCTGTGTGTGTCTGTGTCTGTGTGTCTGTCTGTGTGTCTGTGTGTGTGTGTGTTTGTTTGTTTGTTTGTTTGTTCTTGAGGGTACCCATTTCACCTTGGTTTAGAGGGAGGCCAAAGGGCAACTACTGTCTTTTGGGAGTCGACTATTTTGTCACATAGCCTTGTTTACCACCACCTGGAGTAACAGCTAGGCAGGGCCTTTTTGCACTGAACTCGGCTTGGATCGAAAGCTAGAGCATCATACAAAGCTGAGGATTTATGCCGCTCAAGTCTTAGCGGCTTTACACCATTAGCTCCAGACCTGGGCTTTCTTCCCAGCTCTCAAGCTGGAGGCAAAACAAGCTTCCGCAATGAAAGGTGATAACAGATGCCGAACGGCCCGGCGTATCAATCTCATGGACTCTGCCAAGCGGAAGCCACTTGAAACCTGCCAGTAAAAGTAACAGTAGAATCGAAGCCTTGCTGAGCAAAGAGGGTGTGTGATGCGGAACATAGGAGATAACTTCCCGTTGCAGAAAACAACCGCATATGTTGAGTATCCTAAACCTTAGACTCTAAGCCATCCTAAAACCTGAACAAGATACTCTCTCTTTCGGGCATCTCCGATGAGACATGCGTGATCCTTTCCACGCGTCATTCTTCGTATCGGCAGGTGCTGCCTTTCGACCTGCGCAAGGGCGTCAAGCAGGGGGGCGACAAGGCGATGGGTCAAGATGCTCGCGATAGAAACACCACTCCAGTTTGCTTTCCAAGTTTCTGCACTTCACGTACCTGTTGGGGAAGTGTTTAATTAGAAGCAAAAGGCTTCGTTTTTTGGTGAGAGGAATAGACAGCGGCCAGGAATAGTTCGCAGGTTAAAGAGAATCCAAGAACTCCAGGGAGTCCGCCGCCTTTGAAGCGACGGTCTTTAGGAGGTTTTCCTTCATGCCAGGAAGCATGGCGAAACTCGCTTTGATCCGACTGATTCTGGCCATAACAACCAGACCAACACGTTCTGT